TACCAGCCATGGCATTGTTTTTGTCTTTATTCTCTGCCAGCCATGGCATTGTTTTTGTCTTTATTCTCTACCAGCCATGGCATTGTTTTTGTCTTTATTCTCTGCCAGCCATGACATTGTTTTTGTCTTTATTCCTTACCAGACATGGCATTGTTTTTGTCTTTATTCTCTACCAGCCATGGCATTGTTTTTGTCTTTATTCCCTACCAGCCATAGCATTGTTTTTGTCTTTATTCCCTACCAGCCATAGCATTGTTTTTGTCTTTATTCTCTACCAGCCATGGCATTGTTTTTGTCTTTATTCCCTACCAGCCATGGCATTGTTTTTGTCTTTATTCCCTGCCAGCCATGACATTGTTTTTGTCTTTATTCCTTACCAGCCATGGCATTGTTTTTGTCTTTATTCTCTACCAGCCATGGCATTGTTTTTGTCTTTATTCCTTACCAGCCATGGCATTGTTTTTGTCTTTATTCCCTACCAGCCATAGCATTGTTTTTGTCTTTATTCCCTACCAGCCATGGCATTGTTTTTTGTCTTTATTCTCTGCCAGCCATGGCATTGTTTTTGTCTTTATTCCATACCAGCCATGGCATTGTTTTTGTCTTTATTCTCTGCCAGCCATGACATTGTTTTTGTCTTTATTCCTTACCAGACATGGCATTGTTTTTGTCTTTATTCTCTACCAGCCATGGCATTGTTTTTGTCTTTATTCCCTACCAGCCATGGCATTGTTTTTGTCTTTATTCCCTACCAGCCATAGCATTGTTTTTGTCTTTATTCTCTACCAGCCATGGCATTGTTTTTGTCTTTATTCCCTACCAGCCATGGCATTGTTTTTGTCTTTATTCCCTACCAGCCATGGCATTGTTTTTGTCTTTATTCCCTACCAGCCATGGCATTGTTTTTGTCTTTATTCCCTACCAGCCATAGCATTGTTTTTGTCTTTATTCTCTACCAGCCATGGCATTGTTTTTGTCTTTATTCTCTACCAGCCATGGCATTGTTTTTGTCTTTATTCCCTACCAGCCATGGCATTGTTTTTGTCTTTATTCCCTGCCAGCCATGACATTGTTTTTGTCTTTATTCCTTACCAGCCATGGCATTGTTTTTGTCTTTATTCCTTACCAGCCATGGCATTGTTTTTGTCTTTATTCCTTACCAGCCATGGCATTGTTTTTGCCAATGCAGACAATCACTACTGATGTGATGCAATTATCACCAGTGATTGCATCTCTACAATTTCTTTATCTGAATTGAATGAAACAAGAAAAAACATTTTGTAACAAATGCTCCTCAACTATACTTTTAGATTCATTGCAGTTATATTTAACTACTGTAAATTTAATACGGACTTTTCCATTTTTAACATTTCCTTTTTTATCAAACAACTTGAAAACAGTAATTCTCTTTCTTTTAAACTCTAAAACAGAAAATCTGGCATGGGAAATGCATTTTCAATTTGTTCTAAATGAATTAAAGAAAAGAAAACAGGAATGTAATTAATAAACTTGAAAGCAAAATACTTTTCTGAATAAAACATGATATGGCAATTCCAATGAAAATATGGATGAAAAGTAAATGGAACACAAACCAAATGTTTTCCAAAAGCATTTTACTAAAATGAAGCCAAAGCAAAATTCTGATTTGATAAAACTACTGGCTCAGGGTCTGTATATATTATCAACACTGTCTATAAAGATGGCCCATTGATTCAAAGGAAATGGTCTCCATAGGTAGATGGGATTTAATGTATTTGTACTTCACAGAGTGCTAATTTGAATCCATCTATTTTACCTATCTACCTATTTTACTTTCCTGCCAATATATCAAAATATCTATTTACCCATCTGCTCAGTCATCTACCCATATTCACAGTCATCTACCCATCTGCCAAACCATCTACCCAAATCTCCAGCCATCTAGCCATCTGTCCAGTAATCTTACCATCTGTCCAGTCACGTATCCATCTGTCCAATCAGCTACCCAACTATCCATGAATCTACATATTTCTCCAGTCATTTACACATCTCTCCAGTCATCTATCTATTTGTCCATGCATCTACCCATCTGTCATCATCTACTCATCTGCACAGTCATCTGCCCATCTGTCAAACCATCTACCCATATCTCCAGCCATCTACCTATTTGTCCAATCTGTCCAGCCATCTACCAATCTGTTCAGTCATCTACCCACATGTCCAGTCATCTTACCACCTGTCCATGCATCTATCCATTCCTTCAGTCATCTACACATCTCTCCAATCATACCTATTTTCCAGTCATTTACCCATCAGTCCAGTCATCAACCCATCTGTCCATAACCAGCCATCTACTGATCTGTTCAGCCATCTACCTATCCTTCCCACCATCTACCCATCTGTCCAGTCATCTATAAATTTGTTCATGCACCTACCCATCTGTTGAGTCACCTACCTCTCTGTCCATGTATCTACCCATCTGTCCAACAATCTGCCCATATGTCCTGTCACCTACATGTCTGTCCATGCATCTACCCATCTGTCCAACAATTTACCCATCTATCCAGCCATCTACACATCTGTCCATGTATCTACCCATCTGTCCAACAATCTACCCATATGTCCTGTCACCTACCTGTCTGTCCATGCATCTACCCATCTGTCCAACAATCTACCCATCTGTCCTGTCACTCACCTATCTGTTCATATATCTACCCATCGGTCTTCAAAAGATATATCATCTAAGTGAAGTGCCTAATACATTATCTGTTAATTTTCTGACCATATTTTCAAATGATTTATAACCAAAATAACCACTGACTAATTCATTTTTCCAATTATGTTCTTAAAACTTTGTGCAGTAAACTGTTATGAGTTCTACTGCATTACTCTTTATCCATTTATGTGACCATCTAAGAGTGTAAGCCATCCTAAGGCATCATATCAGGGAGAAGTTACTAGTCTTTGACAAATGTACAGATACTATCATAAGACCTCAAAGAATGGACAAGTCACATTTCTGTGATACTGCAGAGACAATTCTAATACATCAAACAGGGACAAGTCACATTTTGGTGATTCTGCAGTGCAAAGAGACAACCCTAAGGCATCAAAACAGGAAGTCACTTCTATTTATACACTGCAGTGGCCATCATAACACATCAAAACAAGGAGAATTCATGTCTCTTTATACAGTGCAAGGACCATCCAAACACATCAAAGGGGGAAATCACTTCTATTTGTACACTATAAATACCATCCTAAAACCCCAAACAAGTCACTTTTCTTAGTCCACTGTAGAAACCATTCTTAAGACTCTAAACAAGAAGTCACTTCTCTTTTCTACTGCAGAGAGGACATCCTAAAGCCCTAAAACAAGGATATTCACTTCTTTTTGTCCATAAGAGAGACTATTTATTCAAAAGACGCAAACCGGGAGAAGTCACTTCTCTTTGTCCATCAGAGAGACTATTATAAAGCCACAAACAGGAAGAAGTCACTTCTCTTTGTCCATTGCAGAGACCATTCTTAAAGCCTTGAAATAGGGAGGAGTCACTTTTCTTAGTCCAGTGCAGAGACCATCCTACAGTTTCAAAACAGGGAGAAGTCACTTCTTTTAGTCCAATGCAGAGACTGTCCAAGAATCTTTCCATCCAGTCAAATAAAGAACTTTATAGATGCTGCAGCATGTGGCTCCACATTGCTTGCAATAAACAAAGGATACAGCCAAACAATATGCCCCACTTTACTTACAATAAACAAAGGATACAGCCAAACAATATGCCCCACTTTACTTACAATAAACAAAGGAAACAAGCACACAATATGCTTCACTTTGCTTACAATAAACAAAGGATACAGCCAAACAATATGCCCCACTTTACTTACAATAAACAAAGGAAACAAGCAACAATATGTTTCACTTTGCTTACAATAAACAAAGGGAACAGCCAAACAATATGCCCCACTTTACTTACAATAAACAAAGGATACAGCCAAACAATATGCCCCACTTTACTTACAATAAACAAAGGATACAGCCAAACAATATGCCCCACTTTACTTACAATAAACAAAGGATACAGCCAAACAATATGCCCCACTTTACTTACAATAAACGAAGGATACAGCCAAACAATATGCCCCACTTTACTTACAATAAACAAAGGATACAGCCAAACAATATGCCCCACTTTATTTGCAATAAACAAAGGATACAGACAAACAATATGCCCCACTTTACTTACAATAAACAAAGGATACAGCCAAACAATATGCCCCACTTTACTTGCAATAAACAAGGATACAGCCAAACAATATGCCCCACTTTACTTACAATAAACAAAGGATACAGCCAAACAATATGCCCCACTTTACTTACAATAAACAAAGGAAACAAGCAAACAATATGCTTCACTTTGCTTACAATAAACAAAGGGAACAGCCAAACAATATGCCCCACTTTACTTACAATAAACAAAGGAAACAAGCAAACAATATGCTTCACTTTGCTTACAATAAACAAAGGGAACAGCCAAACAATATGCCCCACTTTACTTACAATAAACAAAGGATACAGCCAAACAATATGCCCCACTTTATTTGCAATAAACAAAGGATACAGACAAACAATATGCCCCACTTTACTTACAATAAACAAAGGATACAGCCAAACAATATGCCCCACTTTACTTGCAATAAACAAGGATACAGCCAAACAATATGCCCCACTTTACTTACAATAAACAAAGGATACAGCCAAACAATATGCCCCACTTTACTTACAATAAACAAAGGAAACAAGCAAACAATATGCTTCACTTTGCTTACAATAAACAAAGGGAACAGCCAAACAATATGCCCCACTTTACTTACAATAAACAAAGGAAACAAGCAAACAATATGCTTCACTTTGCTTACAATAAACAAAGGGAACAGCCAAACAATATGCTCCACTTTACTTACAATAAATAAAGGAAACAAGCAAACAATATGCTCCACTTTACTTACAATAAAAACACCACTCTGGTGGCCTATTGGTTAGAGTGTCCACCTTTGATGCGGGAGGTCATAGGTTCAATCCCCGGTTGAGTCATACGAAAGACTTACAAAAATGGTACTAACAGCTGCCTCGCTTGGCGCTCAGCATTAAGAGGTTAGTGTTTGGACTGGTCAGCCTGGTGTCAGGATAATGTAACTGGGTGCTTACAGTAAACAAAGGAAACAGCCAAACAATATATATGCTTCACTTTGTTTACAATAAACAAAGGGAACAGCCAAACAATATGCTCCACTTTGCTTACAATAAACAAAGGTAACAGCCAAACAATAATCTCCACTTTACTTACAATAAACAATGGGAACAAGCAAACAATAAACAAAGACTTTTCTTACAATAAACAAAGGAAACAGCCAAACAATATGCTCTACTTTGCTTGCAACAAACAAAGGAAATAGTCAAACAATATGCTCCACTTTGCTTACAATAAACAAAGGAAACAGCCAAACAATATGCTCAACTTTGCTAGCAACAAACAAAGGAAATAGTCAAACAATATGCTCCACTTTGCTTACAATAAACAAAGGAAACAGCCAAACAATATGCTTAACTTTGCTAGCAACAAACAAAGGAAACAGCCAAACAATATGCTCCACTTTACTTACAATAAACAAAGGAAACAGCCAAACAATATGCTCCACTTTACTTACAATAAACAAAGGAAACAGCCAAACAATATGCTCAACTTTGCTTGCAACAAACAAAGGAAATAGTCAAACAATATGCTTAACTTTGCTAGCAACAAACAAAGGAAACAGCCAAACAATATGCTCCACTTTGCTTACAATAAACAAAGGTAATAGCCAAACAATATGCTCAACTTTGCTTACAATAAACAAAGGAAACAGCTAAACAATATGACCTACAGCTCATCAGATGAAATCAAATGACATCCATCGTTATTCTTTTTATGCAGCAGGACATAGCTGTGACACTGTATATTCTGCTAACCTAGTCACATGCTACCTTAATGTATATAGCTAAGCATGTAGCCATTCAAGGGGTTGTCTGAAATCACTAAACTGTACAAATTTTTTAGCAACTTTATTTTCACTTTCATTGCAGAAGGGCTCAAAGTTTGATAGGGCAATTTTAGCTATTAATGGGCATTTTTGTGCAAACATTGCCTACTGATACTTTCATCTATCTATTCATCCATTAATCTATCTAATACTTTCATCAATCTATTCATCCATTAATCTATCTAATTTATCTGCATAAAATACTCACCTAAAGTAAAGTAAATTGCAGGACTGAGTTGTCCTCTTCCTCCACGGCTCATACCTAATGCTCTCACAATATAAACTTCATTGGGTTGAATACCCTCAACAATGGCCTCATCCACCATTGGGACATCTACAGTTTTACATGATCTCATATCTTCTGATGCTTTCCAGTACATCAACTGAAACATGTGAAACAAGATAAACTTGAAATGTGTTCATAAAACACAGATGCCATGTCACTGTGGCTAAAACTGACCTAATTGCAAAAACCAACCAGACAGACTAACAAGGGTAACACTGTCATTTTAAGGCATAAAATTATTTGTTCATAGCATTTGTATGGGGTTTTTTATGCTCTTATTCCCTTCAGGTTGATGTATATCATCAATATGTTTGTCTCTTTGAGAGAGAGAGAGAGAGAGAGAGAGAGAGAGAGAGAGAGAGAGAGAGAGAGAGAGAGAGAGAGAGAGCTGGGGACCTTTTTAGAAAATCTTTCATTCAAAACTGTTCAATAACTAAGTGAAATTTTTATTGTTCACAGTAACTGTGTCAGAGTGAATTAATATTCATGACATAAATGCTTGGCAGAATGTATACATGTATGTGTCTTTACTAAAAAAGTATGTTTAAAAAGTAATTTTTAAAAGTGGACCTAACATTAAAACATTATCAAAGGACCATTACATGTGCAAGAATTTCATCTATGTTACAAACATTTATATTGAAAAGGGCATAACTCTATAAAACTTATTACTTAGATAACTCGAGTTGTGGTGTGGAAATGAACTGGCAAGAGAGATAGATGGATATAATAACAAAATACACTTCATGGCAGGGGATTAATAAGGCATCAGGACATGGCTGCCATGTTTCAGGGCAATTCAAGAAAAGTCTTTCGACAAGTTGCACACAAAAATTACATTTAACACCATAAAATGTGCAAAACATATATCATGGCATTACAACCTAAATAACAGCAGGTGCTAAACTTATATCAATACTTTCTGTCAAGTTTTACGACAATTCATCATCATTTATTATTACTGTTAACACAACAGGGGACATAACTCTGCAAAAATGCATTATCGTGATGACAGGTTAACAATGCCTTATCTTTGGAAATATCATTAACAATAATTCTTGCCATATTCATAGCAGCAGAGGTATATTATCCTCCACCAGTTTTACCTTAAGAATGTAAAGTAAGGTGCTTGGAACTTCATGCTATAATCATAGTGTAGATAAAATTCATTATCAATTAGACAGGTGAGCAAGAATAAAAAATTCAAGCTACTAATAGAAGTATTATAACATATTTAAAATGAGCATAAACAAATGGTATGTCCTTACCTGGTATCCTAATAATGATTCTTCATTTGACCGGGTACTCAATCCTCGCCATGTGATCCTCACACTGTTGGCACCATGGGACCATACTCGTACATTTGTTGGATACAAACCAGGAGCTGCAAAGTAACAATTGAATATAAGATCATTCTTTTTCTTAAGTAATTATTTAAATAAATACACCAAGCATTATAAAAATAATTTAAAATATATAGAAGTCATTCCCCAAAGTCATGAAATTGTACTGTGCGTAAGATGAACTCAGGACTCGATTAGAGTTTCATAACAGTGACAAGAGGAAATAATATTAAACTCAATTATAGATTTTTGCCACTTCTATCTGGAATTATGATCTGGCTTCAAATTATGTTCACAAGACATTGTATGATAATGGAACCATTTTTTTGTTATGCCCCATCATTCCTTTGGAGGAAGAACATTACTGTAGACTGTGACTGTCCATTCCATCACTTCATTTCATTATCCTACCTGTTGCTTCACATCACATTAAATCCATCACAAATTTCATATCTGCTCAATAACTTTAGAACTGCATAGATTAAAATCAAATTTGATATATGGTGTTATAAAAACAACCTTCGTCAAGTTAGGTGTTCACCATTTTCCAACGAAATTTAAGACAGTTTTGGCCCTTGAAATGCATCACACTAATGGGGGCAATCTGTTGTTCTGATACACAATTAGGTTGTATTTGAGATTTTCTCATTCAGTCCACTCTCATTATTCTGAAACTTGTTCATTTGTTTACTGTATATCACCATCATAAAATAACTGGAACCCTGAGTGGTCTAAAGTGCTCATCATTCCAGATCACTGCCATCTCACCTCTGTCTGTGTGGGTTTGAGTCTCAGGCAAAGCTAACATGGGTACATGAGAAAGCCTGCCAGTAGCTTGTCATGTGTTGGTGGTTCTTCTGGGGATTTTCCAAGGTTCTTCCTCCACCTGTTATACTGGCCACCATGTATAGCCTATCATGTGCTGAAAAATGACATTAAATCCTACAACAACAACAACATAAAATAATTTACTGCATGTCATTTAAAACTGCTTATTCAATTGTACAGCAGCAAACCAAAGCATGAATTACAATTTATATTTTCTAATTTTCACAAAGTTACAAAAGGCCAAAACAAAATAAATCCCATAAGGCAAAAGTAGACAATTTGCAGATTATCAAAAAGAGCAACCAATAATTTGCTGATTTCAAGTAAATACGATGAATATTACAACAGATACAACAGTATGAATGCATCATGAAACAACATCGTGATGTTGATTAAATTCCTTGTAGGACATTTCTTTAAGGAAACATCATACTGTCTGAAGTAAGAATCCCTTGGTTTGCAGGCTGTTTGATTTAAATCATGTCAAGAATGAACACTGCAAACTTTGATCTGCTGGTGTGGCATACAGTAGATCGGAGTCCCTCCTGCTGGTGCTGGGTTTGCATAATCTCCAAGGAAATGCAGTGTCTGACAATGTCACATGTGCAATGAAACATCAAGTAGTCATTTCATCCTATGCAAAAGATGGAGACAATGAAAGGCAAGAACATAAAGATGCAGAAAGTAAAGTATACCGCATTTAACTGCATTGCTATCTGACTAAAAAATATCAAAGTACTGGGAATATAGATGACTTGGCACCTTAAAGTGATACCATTTTACACTAGAAAAATGGAAAATTAAAATGCTGCTATTCATGGTTCTTTCTATAACCTTAACAACACTGCTCATTTTATAATCTGGATAATATTCATCAAAAAATTTTTTCTTTGAATGTCACCACAGAATTTTATTAATATTTAAAAAATTATTTGAGAAATTATTGTTATTTCCTTTAAAAAAGATTTGCTGCTTTTTGTTTCAAGTATTACCATCAATGAAGCAATATCTACAACTTTCAAGTGCTATACAGAAATATATATTTAGGCAGGTCTAAAAATATAACAGTCCTATCATGCGACATCCCAGGATCTCCTTGTGAAATAGTCTGTACAGGTGACACTCAATTTATGCCATAGATGCATTCCTTAAGTTATGGCATAAATCCAAAATTTGCATAAATCGAAAGTGTGCTCTCTCAGTGAACAATGAGAAGTGTACACATGCATATAATTATATGAGTTACATGAGTCATACACAAATTTAATGTAAAAACCAGCACAATGGCACAACTTGAATGTTATTTCTATGTGGCATTATTAAAAGCACATACTCTGAATTGCCATCATCACTGATAGTTTCATGTCTTTAAAGTAATGTTGATAATAAATGAACCTATGATCTAGATAAGACATAAACTATCAACTGTCATCATCTAATGGTTTCTCAGGACCTTTTTCTCTGCAATGTTAGTGACCCAATTGATAAATGAAAGCTAGCAGATTTTGTAACCTGCAAGAAAAATTACAGGCTAGACTTTCTTGCATTCTGGACTTT